TGTTTAGCCTCTTGATTTCGGATTTAATTTGGATGTTTATCCTCCTAAGACCAGATTTATCCTTTATCTTGTACGGTCTCTCTGTGTCTCTTCGAAGCTTTCTGAGATGAGGGGAAGAGAAACGGTCCATTCTTTTGAAAATTATCTGTGTCAGTCAAGTCTCATAAACCGTTAATGACCAGCTCTTGCTACGCTGGGCCTCACGCTGTCCCTCGAAGATGTTCAGAAACGCTTAACGTTAACCGACGCAAAAACCAAAACACTGTTTGGCGACTTAAGAATTCTATATTCTAACACCAACATATAACCAGCAATGCCGCTTTTACAGAGTAAGGTCTAAGAACAAATATTACAACAATAAATCACGATATTACTTCTGACAGTTTTTCAATCTTTCTTCTGAACAGCGAATGATGAGACGATGACTGTCGGATTGATGATCCGCAAAAATTATGGGGAAGTTGTTTTTGAGCAAACAACCATGAATTGATCATCCAATATTCAACTACATTGACAATCTCTTTTGGACAGCATACATCAATGCAGAATTTAAGATAGTCAGTCAGAATGAAAATAGTATCATCCAGTACGTGATCGCTGAAAAGTTCCCAGTTTGTGTCATTTAACTTACGTCTTAGTTTGAGCATATTTTCTTGTGGGCAACATCTTTGTTGTGTTTCTCTGGACAGATTTGAGAGGATATTAGAATGAGGTCTGCTGCATATCTTGGGTAATATCCGAATAATACAATGATCAGAGTTCATTATGGGAGCACGTCTGCGTGTTTCATATATTTCCTCATCATCAATAAATACTAGATCCAGAGTTTTATCAAGTCGAGCAGGAAATTTGACAATATTGACATGACCTAATGATTCAAGAAAAGAACAACCGAAGGTATTGAAATCTCCTGTGACAACTGATAAAGAGTTTTCGAGATGCGTGACAGCGAATGCAGTGAATTCATCGGCAGAATCAGATAAATTCGAGGCGGAACAGCCAGGAGTAACTTAAACGTTTGAGATGAAGACGTATTTAAACTTGGATAAGTGTTTCGGATGACATTTGACTGTTATACAATCAATAAAGTCACTAGAGAAAGAAAGACATACATTGTTTGAAGATGACCACTGAGAATGAATGAAAGTTGCAACACCTCCACCTCTTTTCTTTCTGGAGCACAGTCGATCTTGTATAAACAATGTAAAACCATTTAGAGAAACCAGGTTGTCATCATAAAGTTCATGGAGACATGTTTCTTGTAAGGTAATTTTGCCGTATTGCGATAAATGTCAGATGATAAGAGAGACTGGAGATGCATAATTTTGTTGGGAAGTGGAAAATATCCTCACTACAGAAGAAAGCTGGGTCAAATCAAAGGCCAACAGAATACTCACTGACATCTTCTTCATGGACTTCAGCAAAGCCTTCGATAAAGTTGCTCACAAGAGACTACTCATGAAGTTAGAAAACCTTGGTGTTAAAGGTAGGTCACCGAACTGGCATAGAGAATTCCTCCTAGATAGGAGGCAGAGGGTTAGGACCAACTCGAAACTCTCCTCCTCAAAAGCAGTGCGTAGCGGAGTGCTAAGGCACGGTACTCGGACTTCTACTGTTTATTTTATATATCAATTAGTTATCTTTGCCCACCGATTCCCTTATGGTCCTGCACGCAGATGACCTAAAAGTTTAGAGAGCTGAAGGGCAGTAGCGATGCGTCCACGTTGCAAGAGGACCTCAACAAATTGTCAGAGTGGTCCAGAGAATGGATGCTTCGGATCAATGTGGCAAAATGTGAAACCAAGCGTATCGGACAAGCAAGCATCAGCTCTTACGAACTAGAGGGAATAACACTACCATCAATTCATACTCCTTCGGATTTAGGTTTCATAGTTAGCCACGATTTAAAAACTACAACACACTGTCACGCGGTGGCTGCACGTAGTTTCAGATCCTTGTGGGCAATTCACAGAGCCTTTACTAGAATCCCCAGAGATATGTTCACCTCTCTGTGCACATCTCTGGTGAGGTTAAGACTGGAAAACTGTATCCAGGCAGCCAGTGCTTGTCTTAAAGGGGACTCACATATTCTAGAAAGCGTTCAAAGGAAGGCAATACGTATGGTTCTCGGCATGACTAAATTATCATACGAGGAAAGACTAGAAAGCTTAAATATCTTCGCCCTGTCAAACCGTAGACAAAGAGGAGATCTAATTACAATTTTCAAAATTTTAAATAATGACCACGGACCTGACCTATTTTCTCTTTTCCTTGCCACGAGGTTGGAACACCTTAGAGGACATGACAGGATAGTTCAAAGGCCAAGAAGAAATCATATGGTCGAGCACTGGTTCTCACACCAAGGCATAAACTCTCGGAACAAACTCCCAGAAGAAGTGTTGTCTACAACTCCAAATGATTCATTCAGTAAGGGTTTGGACAACCACAGAAATTTACTGGAGAAGGATTAACATAAGCCACGAGCCTTCTACTATCAACCAATAAATTTGCAATATATTCAAAATAGATTCGAAAAATCGTAGAACTTCTGAATTATCTATCACAGTTTCTCTGCTGTAGAAAGCCAATATTACACAACTCTCTGTCTTATCCATCCACTACAAACAGTTGAAAGAGACTAAATTTTCAAACTTTGTGCTTCTTTGATCGAGTTACCCAATGATATTCGTTTTTATAAGAGGATCCAATGCAGATCACACCACCGAAGTCCTCCACTGAACTATTATGGTTCACAGTAAGAGGATTGACGACAACTTACCAGGTAAATGTGGGTAACAAAACGTATTAAAATAAATGACGTCAACTCTAAATCTATCTCCAGTCGAAGGCAAAGTTTAAGAATGGAGTCCCAAGAGATGCGAACGCACAATTACCTTGAGCCGACCAATCAGAAAAAAGGAGGAATTTTGCATAAAATTTAACGTATATTTACACAAAAATGCATGAAAAAAACATTAAACGGATTATATTTCTCTGATATGACTTAAAAATACGTTCCAGTTGCGATGAAGAGTATCAGTTGCTAATTTGGACTAGTTTCTGTAGATGTAATCACCAAAGAGACTGAAGGTGTGCTGTTTTGGGAATGGTTCATCTCTTTTCTCTTGCTGTGTAGTCCTCTCCTCAGCCCTCGGTTTAGTTACTATGGTTCCAGTAAGAGCATTGGCGACTACATACAAGGGAAATAAGGATAACAAAAGAACTTGAAACAAACGAAAAATCTATTCCTAATCGCTACCCTAACCCTAAACCCTAACCCTAACCATAACCCTAAACCCTAACCCTAACCATAACCCTAACCCAAACCCTAACCATAACCCTAACCACAATACTCGCCTTAACCCCTATCCTAACCCTAACGAGATGTTAACACATTGTCCAAACAGTAATAAAAGTGTTATCTGGGTGAAACTTGCTCCTTATTTGATGAATAGGGTTGATATTTCAGCTATGATAATGACAGGAACCGTTAGCCAACGACTAGCATGCGTTCAAGGTCATTTGAGCGTTGAAGGTTTTGGGACGCTATTCCTAAACTTCGCCCAGTCGAAACCCTAACCTTAATCCGAACCTTAACCCTAAACTTAACACTAACCTTAACCCTAATTACAACTTTGATCCAAACCCTAACTCCAATACTTACCTTAACCCTGATCCGAACAATAACGAGCTATTAACACACTGTCGAAGCAGTAATTAAAAATGTGATCTGAGTGAAATTTTCTGCTTAGATGGTGAATAGCGTTGATATTTCAGACATGATAAGGACAAGTGGGGTCAGCCGACGACTAGCATGTGTTCAAGGTCATTAGAGCGTTCTCATTCGTGGGACGCTATTGCTGAACTTCATGTATAACTTCGCACGTATAATAAGTGATCTGGCAAAGTTAAACTTTCGACACCACTAACAACCAATCAGAAAACGACCTCGAACGGACCAATCACATTAAAAAGGCATATATGTTGAATGGAAATGTATATTTATAGAAAAAAGCATAAAATAGATAATAAAAATGGTTACATGGGATATCTTTCTCGAACATGTAGGAGAAAAATCTCCCAGTTTAGCATGGGACTGTCAATGGAGAAGTTACACCATATCCTGTACATATATTCATCCAAATGACTATAAATGATGGTAACTATAAATGAGATACATTTATAGCCCTTATCCTATTTTCCAACCTGCCCCAAAATCCTTCATTAGAATTTGTATGTGTCCTCATAACGGGATCCAAAAAATCACTTGAATGGCTGTGTCTACGATGAATATATCCCAGAGATGACAGCGAATTGTAGCCTTTCCGTGTGTATAATTGACCCCCGCTTAACAATTCTGGTAACAATAGGTATAAGAGTAGTTGCTTTTCTATCTGCTATCCTTAGGGAGAGAAGCGACCTAGCGAAAAAAGTTCCTACGAAATAATAAAATTATCAGCATACCCTCTCTAGTGTTAGTAGGCTTCAAACATATAGCACAACGATGAACAAACCCATCAGTTGACTTGATATAGCTTTTTAAAGTCACGATACCACCACACAGTCAAATTCGTTCTTTCCAGAGCAACTGAAATCTAGGAAATACTGGGAAACACTAACCTCCTCGAATTGCAACAACAGCCTTGTAGGGTCACGCATTAGAAATGAATCAAGCGCTATACAACATTGAACTGCGTTCGTGAACCTCATTGGATAATTCGACGTCGTTCGTGAATCTCATTGGATAATTCGCTGATTGGTAGTTAGTGGTGTCGAAAGTTTAACTTTGCCAGTGATCCTCTTAAGCCGAAAAACATAACTTCTATATGGTTTTATTATTGTTATTTCAAAACCCGCCTCAGTAACGTGCAATACGTATTAACCGCAACGTTTACGCAAAGGAAAACCTACCAATCACAATACGCATAAGTGACCTTCAAGTGCTCAGTCTCTCTACGTCTGTTGCATGTCTCCCTTCATTGACTGGTGCTCTATTTGAGATGCTAACGCCACATGAACTATTTGTTTCTTGCATTCGTAAAGGTTGTCAGATGTGGGATTTCCGGAAATTTTCACAAAAGTACAAATATTTTATTTTACACAATTGTTAGAGTCAAAACGGGTGTTATGTTACTGAATATGGGTGGCCCACAAACTACGAAGGATGTATATCCTTTCTTAACCCGCCTATTTTCCGACAAGGAGATTATTCACATGCCATTTCAAGAGTAATTTTGAATCTCTTAACACTTCAGTACGTTGGCACGATTTGTAGCGTGGCGTAGATCTCCAAAGATTGAACGACAGTATTCTCAAATTGGTGGCGGATCTCCTATTCTGCACTGGACTAAAGTACAAGGCGAAATGATGACCAAGCATTTAGATGCAATTAGTCCTGAGACCGGTATAACCCCGCCTAGATTTATCTATTTTTGCTCCTAATAGCTCCTCATAAGTTCTACGTTGCTTTTCGTTATGCACATCCTCTGGTGGAATCTTGTGTTAATGAAATGGAAAGGTGTGTCCACTGTCATATGATTGCATTCTATTTTAGAGACGGTGTTGAACGTGCAGTGGCTTTTAGTCAATACCCACAATATAGCTGCACAACCTCGGGTAGTAGCTTTAATGCCATTGTTCGTCACTATATGAATAAAGAAACGAGTTTCAACGGGGTCGAAAGTGTTGAACTTCCTCCTGTTCTAAATAACACTCCAGGACCAGTTTGGTCGTTCATAGACAGGTGGCCAGTTCTTCCTCATTTAATCAATTCCTTTGCCAATAAAATTCTCCAGGAGCTTAATAGCATTGAGGATGAAACTGTGCGCGCGAAAACCGTATTACTTTTCAGTGCCCATTCAATACCAATGTCTGTCGTGAATCGCGGCGATCCTTACCCTCAAGTGGGTTTGTCACATTTTGATTGGTAAACTGTATGGTAAAATATTTTACAACTTCTTTTCACTGTTGTGTTACAGCTCCCTTAAAATTCCTGCCTTTCCTACATCGAACTCGTTTTTCTGTTTCCCCTTCCACCAATTGACACATAAAGACATGAAAAGACTAGCTGTCTTTGATCATAGGTGCCTGCGCTCTATTTCCCGTGTAAAGTGGCATAATAAGGTGAGCAATATTGAGGTTAGGCGTAGAGTTCTAGGTAAACAGGGAAAATCAATCGACGAAGTCGTGAAGTTACAAAGACTGAGATGGTTAGGACATGTGTTACGTATGCCAAGCCATCGCCTCCCTCGACGAGCAATGTTAGCGGATATAGGGTCAGGCTGGAAAAAAGCTAGCGGCGGTCAAACAAAAACTTGGCACCAGTCAATGAAATCCACAACAGTTGGTCTAAGCCACGTAGGAAGGTGTAGACTTCCAGGCTGGGGTCCTCGGGACGGTAAAAATCTATGGTTGGAAACAATTGGTGACATGGCTCAAAACCGTTCTCAGTGGCGCAGATGCATCCACTCCCTGTGACTTATGATCTCCAATGAAACTGTTTTGTATTTCTTTATTACTCCTTTGTCTCACACCTCTGCTCACTGTTTCTATTATGCTTTTCTTGTACTTTCTTCTCTTGCTTCGCGTGCTACACAGAATGTGGCGACTTGAACTTCCGCACATTTGTGCAAAGTTCTATGTCGAAAACAGACAGACAGACAATTGACACATAAAAAGATATTGATTTTAATGTCCAAAAACATGTTGGTTGCGTGTAGTTGTGTTGTTAAACTTTTACTTAGTCCTAACGTTTGTGCTAATTCTTTTTTTATTTCCTTCACGTTCCCAGTGGAACATAGAGCCTCAAGCTAGTGGCTTGAAGTTTCTAGCAGTGTTTATTTTTACAGAATGGGGTCGCTAGCATCATGCCCAACCTTTCCTCTTTACCAGCATTATTTCTTGCTCAGCGAGGTAAAGGAGTGCGTCGGCCGGGCATCGAACCCAGGACCATGTGCATGTTCGGCGAGCGTCCTAACCGCGCTGCCACCGACGCACTCAAATTCTAATTCTGGTTTATTTTAATTTACCATTGTTGGCGTCGATTCTCGAAGTGTGATGTTACTAAATTAAATTGCCCTAAACACTCAGAGTAATGTTTTTATACTGCGGTTATCTATTGCTTTGTTTCGTTATGTTAAGCAAATGAAACCCATAACAATATGTAGTTCAACCACATTAGATGATTAAAATCTATGCTAATTGCTTTCCCCTGACTGCACTGTTGATTTAGTGGACCTGTATTAACTGTGCTGGTTAAACAATGGTTTACGTAGCGTTGGATATTCTAACTCAGCCACTGAGGAACCTGAAATATGATTGAAAGGAATCCGGGCTTGGGCAAATCAAGAAGTAATATATTCGTATTTGGGACTGTTGATATCAGTTGTGTCACGATTTCAATGTATTACGGAAATTGGTCATCAATTAAAACTTATCTCGCTTAATGTGGCTTAAGTAAAAAAGGTTTATACTGTCGCTTGTCACTTACAATTCTGTCCAAATAATTCAATGAGTAGTAAACTAACTCGCAATGCGCCAACTTTCTTACCAGAGTGATTGTATTTCCTAGCAGTAAATCAGCTTCACGACTTCCCACAAGCTTTCATTTCCTCTTCACATGATCTCTATCTCACTACCGAATGTTTAATTCGTTGCTTTCCATTCGGTTCTCACTCAGTAGCCTGACGTGTGAGGTTATTCGACAGTATTCTCACTAAATGTGCGACCAAATCTTATTTCACTCTGCATATTTTTTGGGCGATAGGCTGTTGGCCGGTTTCGTACCTGACAGTGTCATTGTTGTTGATCTTTTCTGACCGGTCATCCGATCTCGAATATCTAGTGAAGACAGCAGTTCTCAAGCATATGAAGGCACTGAGACGACTCTAGTGTTGAAAATTCGAATCTTGCGTCCTTCTGATGAGTGCTGAAGAATTCCACACTGATTTCAGAGTAATGACCGTTTTTCTTTCTCTCCCCATCCCCACTGGCTTTGGAATCCCCATTATAGTGCCACCTGTAAATGAAACGACGTTGCTCAGGTAGATTTTGAAGAGGTGAATTCGTTCGGATTTCTCTCATTGATGGTGATTGATGTTTGTGTTGGTGGTCCCATCGTCTCTGCCTTGTCCCATGGTGGGAACTTGTTGGTGGTTTGAGACACAAGACATGAATTATCCACGAAATCCAGATACATTGGGGTTCTTTTGTGCGTCCATTGCATAGCGGCTGTTGTAACTTTCCACTTTCTTCCACATGGTGAAATGTACCACAATCAAGATCACAGGTGATAATTGGTAGGTCTGTCTGTCTTCTATGTTAACTTCAAACGCGTCGATTAGCGTATTGTTGTGAATTACCTGGTAAGTCGCATCATCATATAACTGGTGAATGAAATTTAAAAATGTTTGTGGTGCTGCAATATATAGTGTTTAAGCAGTCTCAAACTTACTTCATGACCTACGCTGTCGAAGGCATTTCTGAAGTTAATGAAGTTGAGATACAGAAATGGCCACCATTCTAGGCTCTATTCGATGTTAGTGATGATGATTCGTTGTGTCACAATTTTCGTCTGTGTATGACTTGTTTTTCCTGAATCCAAGCTGTTCTGTGAGTGGTGTTCCATCAAGGATGTCCTTCCAGGATGATGTGGGTTAATATTTTGCTTCTGGTAAGAAGTGCACTTCTCCATCACAGCTTTCCTAGCCATGAGTCGTCCTTCTTTGGGAGTTTGACCAGGTAGCCTTACTTCCAATCAACTGGCACTTTTTCTCCCTATCACATGCACCAGCTTTCCGTGTACATATCCAATGACATCTCTAGGACTGGTTACTTAGGGAGACTTCACTTAGGCGTGTTGCTTTCCAAGCTTTTATTAACCGGCTCACGGCCTTCACGGATTTTGATATGTCAGAGAGTTGGGGTTGCCTGATAGTAGTTGTGTTATCGTTTATCTGGTGGTGGTGGTCCATTGAACAGTGCTTTGAAGTGATCAGACCAGTTTTTTCTGTGTTCTGCCTCTTTGGTTCGGTTATTTGGCTCCCTTCACCATATTCCACTGATTTTATACGTGTTCATCTCTTCCCAGATAGTGTGTGGTGTTGGTGACCTACCTAGTTATTGGGTGTAGTGTTGTGAGGCGTATGCTTTCTGTGCAGTGTGTTGTGACTCAGTTTCTGGTGTGTCGTGATGCGTTTTTCGTGTTTTCTAGCACTCTTCTTCATTCACTTATTCATTGAGTCGGCGGATTGTGGATATGCCGCTCAGCTTCTCCCCTCATTGTTTACCTCCTGACGACTACCTGATTTTCTGCTTCACACCTTGCTTCTTCCATCTATCAGCTTGCATGTTTTCGTTGAGAGGCATTCCTTATCTTGTCTCATCTTGCCTACCTGAGACGTCTGTACATCCTTCCTTCCGCATGACTTTCTGAGGGTTCGGGTGTTCTTCTACTCAGGTTTCCTCGATGATGTTGTGTACTGTTTGTGGCTTTTTCTTGATGACTGCATTGAAGGTGTCACTTGTAAGCCTATCCCTCAGTTTTTGAGTGGTGAGCATAGATTGTGGTCTTCTCGATCCAGGCTAAGAATGAGTTTTGGTTTATCTGTTCTTTGGAGTTTCAGTAATCGTGTTGTTTTTTACGGCGCAGTGTGATCATACCCAACCTCCTCTCTTTTCTGAGTGACTAAACTAGGCGAGGTTATGTTTGTACTATATTATCATCCTACTTCCATGCACTTACATTTCGTATGTTGTTTCGAAGTGTAACCGTCTATTTGGTCTTTCCTAATGTTTATTTTTTTTTCTGTGACTGATGCCTATATTTCGACTCACTGTCTTAAGCATTTGGCTCTGTGAATGTTCCGGGGTTTCGAGCCCCACTCCACCTACTTCAGCAGCGAGGTAGTATCATCAGCGCTCATATCATGAGTGTGGCTCGTAGCCTGTTATGAGTAACTTAGTTAAAACAACGAGATGCCTGTGTCTGCTTTTATTTTGCTTCAATTATTTGTGTTTGATTATAAAAGTCTTTTTTGTTTTGCATTATGTAGGAAGTAAGTGCAACGGTTCATGAAATCATGAGACGACTTAATTTCTCATGGCCTTACCGTCTTATTTGGCAGTCAAAAGTTGGTCCAGTAGCTTGGTTAGGTCCGTCAACAAAAGATACTCTACAAGGATTAAGTCGTTTGGGATACCGCCATGTACTTCTAATCCCAGTCGCTTTCATTCAGGATCATATTGAAACCCTATATGAAATGGATGTGGAATACTGTACTGAGGTAGCCTCGGAAGTCGGTATGGTTTCCGTGCGCAGGTCAAAATCACTGAATGACGATCCTATTTTTATTCAAGTATGTTTACCAAACGTATTGGTGCTGTATGATTTAATGCAAACATTTTCTCTTCTGTTGTGGACATGCATCATAAAAGCGTTGTCACGAAACAATATGAAAATAAATTTCTCTATAGGCTTGAAATTATGCACCCTACTACATAATTTCGTCCTCATTAATCCATCATCCTTACACCGCTGCACATCAGACAGAATGAACAGTAATGTCCCTTGTTAAACAATAAAGTTTAATTTTTGTTCAAACATAGGTTTGATACCGCATAGAATCCAGAATGTGTGCCACGCAAAATATTACAGAAATCACCCACAATAGCTTTCATCACTTCATATTTTTGACAATAAAAAACTAGAAAAGTGATACGCAGTCGCCATTTATTTTGATTCTGAACTATATCTGATACCAAAAAATTTGTAAATTAAAGATAACTAGGAAAAATGGGTTGACTCAGAAGAATTAAGTAAAATACATACACGTAGAATTGTAGACAGTGAAAAAGTCAAAAGATAGTTACAAGGGAAGATCAAAAATTCGTTTTCTTTAAGAAAACATAATACATATAATGTAGCTGGCAGTGGCAAATAAAGTGGCTGAACACACAGATTTGGCTTGTACAGCGTGTTTCTTTGCCGTGGCCGACTATATAATATGTATTAAGCTTACCAAAAAACGATTTTCCCCCCTCCCCTTGTAACTGTTTTCAGACTTTGTTATTTTTTTACAATTCCAGCTAATTCTATTAACTTGTTTGCATTTAACGTAGTTCTTCTCAGTCATCATTATTTTAGAAATTTCTTGGTTATGTAACAACTTGTCGCCAACGCCTAAGAATCGACTTATCTTGAATTCTGTAATTAATTTTCACCCCTCCTTCAAAACTTAAGATATACTGCAACCAATATTTATATCTGATACTCTCTAGAACCAATGGGTCATATAATATCTCTCATCCAAAGTATCATAAGTGAGACTATTTCTGAGAAAAATGGCTCCTTAATTAGCTCTCAAGATGGACGCCTTGAACGCTGGAAAGAACACTTTGAGGGACAATTTAACTTGCCTACAGCCACACTGAACCTCCCCGACATCCACCTTACACCCGAATGGGATATAGAAACTGGTCCGCCGTCTGTAAGTGAGGTCACTAAAGCTATCAGTAATTTGAAACGAGGCAAAGCGGCAGGACCTGACGGAATTATTCCGGAGGTGTTTAAATATGGGGGTGACATACTAGTTTGTAGATTAACTGAGGTACTAGGCAAAGTCTGGGAATCAGAGACAGTGCCATCAGACTGGGGTAAGTCACTTATTATACCGATATTCAAGAAGGGAAACAAGTCCTCGTGTGATAATCATAGGGGGATCAGCCTAACGAACATAGTCTCTAAAATCATAGGCTCAGTAATCATGCACAGACTAAGCAGAACTCGGGGGGAACAGACAAGGGAAAATCAAGCAGGCTTTAGACCAGGTAGAGGGTGCATAGATCATATCTTCACTCTTTGACAGATTCTAGAACATAGACACACTTTTCGGCGTCCAACAATTGTCATATTTCTTGACTTGAAGGTGGCCTTCGACTCCGTGGATCGAAAGGTACTATGGCAATGTCTGACTGTGAAGGGAGTGCCAAGAAAGTACATTGCACTAATCAAACTCACGTAGTCGTGTAAGGGCTTATGGGGAATTGTCATCTGAATTGATAACAACCAGTGGTGTCCCTTTTCCCCATTCCTGTTTAACCTCATCATAGATATGCTAATGGAAGTATCCTTAACTGAACGTAACGACTTAGGAATCGACTTGTTACTAAGGAATAGTCTTATGGACTTAGAATATGCAGATGACATAGTCCTGTTAGGAGAGGATGCTGACAAAATGCAGAGTCTTCTGAACACCTTGAGCAGCAATCTTCGTATGTTTGGCATGCGATTCGCCCCTACAAAATGTAAGATGCTGCTACAGGACTGGACCACGTCAACTCCTAACTTAGTGATAGGGAGTGAAGTGATAGAGCATGTTGACCACTTCATCTATTTGGGAAGTTGTATTAGTTCCATTATAGATAAGATTTTATTTTGATAAATCGCACAGTGTTTACAGTTATATGAACTGATCAGTTCATATAACTGTAAACACTGTGCGATTTATCAAAATAAAATCTTATCTATAATGGAATTATACTCTACCAAAGTGCCCAAGTTTTATACTTATATCAAGTTGTATTAGCACCAACGGACTGATTGGCGATGAAATCTCAGCACGGATCCGAAAAGCTCGAGCTGCTTTCGCTGACTTACACCATCTCTGGCGTAGGCGTGACATCCGGTTATCAACCAAGGGACGTGTGTACTGCTCATCAGTTCGCTCCGTCCTTCTCTATGGCTCTGAAACATGGCCAATACGAGTTGAAGACATGAAAAGGTTGACTGCTTTCGATCATAGATGTCTGCGATCTCCTTCTCACGTTAGGTAGTATAATAAGGTAAGTAATGTTGACGTTAGGCGTAGAGTGTTGGGCAAAGAGGGAAAATCAATCGACGAGGCTATAAAGTTACATAGACTGAGATGGCTTGGTCACGTGCTGCTCATGCCTAACCATCGCCTCCCCCGACGGGCATTGCTAGGTGATATAGGTGCAGGTTGGAAAAGAGCCAGTGGTGGCCAAACAAAAACATGGCATCAATCCATGAAATCCTTGACAGTTAAACTGAGTCAGGTAGGGAGATGCAGACTTCCGGGTTGGGGCCCCCGGGACTCTAGGAATCAATGGCTGGAGACAATAGGTGACATGGCTCAAAATTGCTGTCAGTGGCGCAGATGTATTCAGTCTCTGTAATCTTTCATATTCCTTTCTACCATTACCCATTCTGTTTCACTCTTATACTTGTCAGACTGTATTGATTCTCTTCACTCATCTTCTTGTCTACCTCTGTGTGCTATTTGGAAGGTGGCAACTCGAACTGCTGCACTTAGGTGCCAAGTTCTATGTTCAATCCAGACAGACAGATCCAAAGTATCATGACACACCAACAGATGCAGCTCCGCAACAAATATCCTTCACCCCACGGTTTCAAAAAATTGGGACGAAAGTAAAGATGCCTACTGATTGATTGGAAGAAGAGCTACTAAGTCACACTACCAAAAAGGCCTAAGGGCAACTCAGACCTGGCGCAAAAACTGGTGCGGAATCATGCTGTTGTAGACGTCAAGCAAAATACTAAGTAACGTCATCTTAGAGAAAACAAAAGATGCACTGGATGCGGAACTCCATCAGCCTGCAACAAGCTGGATTCAGGAAAGGCAAAGCATATGCTGATCAAATTGCGACTCTACGCATCATCATCGTCATGACCATGATCATCATTCTCATCATCGAAGAAAGCGTAGAATGGCAGTCAAATGTCTATCTGAACTTCATCCACATTGGACACGCTTTCGACACCATTGACTGTGAAGTAATTTAGAAATTACTACTTCAACACTTTGGATTGTCCCAAACCCTAATCAGCCTCAATCAACGTGTGTACATACATACATACATGAGAGTACCACACGTGAAGTGATCCACTACAACGAATAGCTTCTCAGCTAAACCTATGAAGTAAAGACGCTAGTAAGACAAGGCTGACTGGCTGGCTAGTTGGCTGCCTACTATCACTGGTGGTGATGATGATATTATATTGCTTGGTGATTGTGATGGACTGTCTGTGTTAAGCGGAAGACAGTGTCTGGGCAGTGAGAAAACAGGAATAAGTTTGACCAACCGATAGGAAGATGTGGGCTTTGTGGCTGATTTATTTCTGCCTATCTATGTAGTGTGACACACAAACTCGAAGACTTACAGACGGAAAGCAACAAGTTGGAAAAAGAAGACGATTATAATGTTGCTGTAGCAGCAAAGGTGGTACTTGAAGTGAACATGGAGAAAACAAAGGTGATGAAGATAACCAAGGAACGGCAAATGCAGCAACAACAATAACAACAGGCAGTACGAATCACCACCATCACCATGAAGGGAAGAACATTGAAAGGTCGATCACTTACTTCACTTATCTAGGCAGCCAGCATCGTTTCAACTACAGGTGGCATTGTTGAAGATGTTGAAGGCTTGATCGGAAAAGCAAGACAGATCTCCATCACTCTGAGGAAATCAGTCTAGAAGTCTTATGCACCCATTCAGCAATTCGTGTATGAAGGAAGGTAATTGGGATTTCCAACACTGATGTGAAGTCAGTCAATACTTGAGTGATGCAGAGAGTTTGACATGGCACGAGAAGGGTTTGCAACAAGTCACGGTTAACTTTCGTCAGGAGGTGTCTTCTCTGGCTCCATATTGAAGATCAAATGACCAGCCAGAAGGAATTAGCGAGAAGAAACTCTGGGGATGAACGAAACAGCCAACTCACGAAGAACCTATTGCTCAAGAAATATGCAGAAAAAAATGGAGGTGGATCAGACACACACTGACGAGACCGTCGACTAACATCGCGCCGCAGACCCTCAAATGTGACATGGAGGAGATGAGAGACTATGCACAGTCGTGGAACCAGATGAAGAGGACTGCAAGGAGTAGGACAAAGTCGAAATGTGCTGTTAAAGTTTCGTATTCCACTAGCAACTCAAAGGAACAATAATATCCACTTAACCATTTCTGTCTGAGAACTGCCTACTGCACTGAATACACCAGGCATAGGTGTGGTAAGCATAAGTAAAAGTACAAAACAGCATATATAATGATATTGTTCCAAAATAAATTCGAAATAAGATTCATTGCTTTGCTTCGATTTTAGTTCGTTCATTGGATATGAAAAAAAGTAACAGCAATCTATCACTTTTAGAATTTCTACTAATTTAGTTTTCAGTTACTGAAAATTTCTCTCCATTTCGCTTCTTTTTATTGTTGTCTTTAGAAAATAGCTGTTTTTTCTGACAATGCACTAGATATTTCTGTCTTACCAAATACATTTGCAATGAAGTAATCACAAATTTATCCAATGTTATTTTATTTTTCAGGGTCTTGGTGAATTAGTTGCCAAACACATTCGTCGTGGTGATCCGTGTACAAAACAATTTATGCTTCGTTGTCCAATGTGTACCAATCCATCATGTGGAAATACCAGAACATTTATTGCAGCTCAAAAGGAGCGTGTACATGACTGGACAGTATCTCACTTACACAACTCTCAAACTTCACCATTAGTTGAGTGTAGTTAGAAAGGCGGAAACAGCAGCGTTATTGTTATTCCAAACTGAAACATCCTGTACTATATGTCTGTAACACCATAATATGCCTGTATTGTTGTTGTAAATTACTAGTTAATTATTAGATTTTTATTAAGAGCTATGGTAACACTGGGTGAAATAACCTTCTGAAATGTTAACGTCAGGGAAAAGTTTGTACTTTGTGGAGTAGATCAAATCAATTATACTATTTCAGTAGGTTACACACAATCATAAGTCTTTTACTTTTGGTAGTATTTGGAGCAAAATTACTGCCCGTGATCACACAAACTGTTGTAACTGTTGGAATTCCTCACAGAAATGTTAGAAGCATTGATCGGTGAGTGCTATGCAGAATTTCAAAAATTATTTTGTTCTGCATTTTGTGTGCGCGCCTAATGAATTCAGCTGTTAAGAATTACTAAGGTGAAAAATGTCTCACCAAACGACACACTGTTATGATGTCAGCCAGAATTTATCATATAGTCATTTTTATTTTCTTAGTGATAAATAGCAACGAAATTCTCGGAAGTGTACATCCTCTTATTTAAAACTCAGGAGTATATGCCAATATCTCGGATAGTGATGATAGTTCGGAAGCCTAGTGGATAGATTTCCGGTGTATATAATTATGGCTGTCGTACTGAACACCCAGTATATCTGACTCACAAGTTCGAAGTAGAACAAAGCATGTGCTCTGGATTTCGTCTGTAGTCACCAAGAGAGAAATTAAACTACAGTGAACATCAAAGAGGCATCGATGTAACTTTCCACTTCTGTCTGTCTGTCTGTTTTCGACATAGAACTTTGCACAAATGTGCGGAAGTTCAAGTCGCCACATTCCGTGTAGCACGCGAAGCAAGAGAAGAAAGTACAAGAAAAGCATAATAGAAACAGTGAGCAGAGGTGTGAGACAAAGGAGTAATAAAGAAATACAAAACAGTTTCATTGAAGATCATAAGTCACAGGGAGTGGATGCATCTGCGCCACTGAGAACGATTTTGAGCCATGTCACCAATTGTTTCCAACCATAGATTTTTACCGTCCCGAGGACCCCAGCCTGGAAGTCTACACCTTCCTACGTGGCTTAGACCAACTGTTGTGGATTTCATTGACTGATGCCAAGTTTTTGTTTGACCGCCGCTAGCTTTTTTCCAGCCTGACCCTATATCCGCTAACATTGCTCGTCGAGGGAGGCGATGGCTTGGCATACGTAACACATGTCCTAACCATCTCAGTCTTTGTAGCTTCACGACTTCGTCGATTGATTTCCCCTGTTTACCTAGAACTCTACGCCTAACCTCAATGTTGCTCACCTTATTATGCCACTTTACACGGGAAATAGAACGCAGGCACCTATGATCAAAGACAGCTAGTCTTTTCATGTCTTCCACTCTCAGTGGCCAGGTCTCACAACCATAAAGGAGGACGGAGCGGACTGATGAGCAGTACACCCGCCCTTTGGTCGATAGTCGAACATCTCGTCTACGCCAGAGTCGGCGTAAACTAACAAATGCGAAACGAGCCCCTTGTATTCGTGCTGAGATTTCGTCAGAGATCAGCCCGTTGGGGCTGATGGTACTTCCCAAATAAGTGAAGCGGTCAACGTGCTCTACCACTTCACTTCCTATTTTTAAACTAGGCGTCGATGTAGTCCAGTCCTGTAACATCATCTTGCATTTGGCGGGAGCGAATCGCATGCCAAACATTCGTAGATTGCGGCTCAAGGTGTTTAGAAGACTCTGCATTTCGTCAGCGTCTTCGCCTAGAAGGACTATATCGTCTGCATATTCCAAGTCAACGAGATTATTCCCCGGTAGCAAGTCAATCCCTGAGTCGCTGAAGTCACCTAGGGTTAAGTCCATTAACACATCTATGATGAAGTTGAATAGAAAAGGAGATAATGGGCATCCTTGACGGACACCACTGGTCGTCATCAGTTCAGATGACAGCTCGCCGTAAGCCCTCACCTGGCTGTATGAGTACGAGTAGAGTGCCTTAATCAGTGCAATATATTTTCTTGGAATTCCCTTTACAGCCAAGCATCTCCAGAGAACTTCCCGATCGACAGAGTCGAATGCTGCCTTTAGGTCAAGAAATATAATGACTGTTGGACGCCGGTAGGAATGCCTATGTTCTAGAATCTGTCGGAGGGTGAAGATATGATCAATACACCCTCTTCCTGGTCTAAAGCCTGCCTGGCTCTCTCGTGTTTGTGCTTCCCGAGCACCACTCAGTCTACGCATGATTATTGAGCCTAAGACTTTAGATACTATATTAGTCAAGCTAATCCCTCTGTGATTATCACAGGAAGACTTGTCTCCCTTCTTGTATATGGGGATAATCAGTGACTTACACCAACCCGATGGGACTTCTTCTGATTCCCAGACGCTGCCTAGTACCTCAGTTAATCCGGACAGTAAGCTGTCTCCACCGTACTTAAATACCTCTGGAGTCATTCCATCAGGTCCCGCTGCTTTGCCTAGTTTCAGATTGGTGACAGCTTTAGTAACCTCAGTTAGTGACGGAGGACCTGTGTTTATATCCCATTCAGGGAGGTGTTGGATGCTCGGAAGGTTGAGCGTGGCTGTGGGCAAATTAAACTGCTCCTCATAATGCTCTTTCCAACGATCCAGTCGTCTATCCTGGGAGCTAATTATAGTGCCATTTTTTTCCGAGATTGTCTCACTGATGATTTGTCTTCTCCCACCCGTTTCCCTGATGAGTCCAAAGAGTTGCCTGGTGTTGCCTATCCTCGAAGCTTTCTCCATCTCTTTGGCTTTTGTCGCCCACCACTGTTCACGGTCCTTGCGGAGACTTTTCGTAAGTTTCCTCTTGTGCAGCTTTCGCTCCTCATTGAATTCGGAGCTCGCCGGAATAAGTCTTCTAGCATCTATCAGTTCGGATGAGGCGGTGGAGATCCAGTGGTTTTTACTCACCTTTGGGTTTACCTTATTCACAGCTTTTACAGCTGTATCTATGGCTGCCTGGATATTTTTCCAAGCTTCTTCAGGGTGAGCACAGCTGTCGAACACAGATATGTGTTTAGCTAGTTCTTCCTCAAATACGGATTTAGTTTCCTGATCGAGCTGGGGACGTGATGGTTTTACCGCCAGCTGTTTCCTACGTCCGTTCAGTCGTAAGCACACCCGAGCGCGGACCAGTGCATGGTCGGTATCTACGCACGTGTTCCAGAAGGAGCGACAATCTCCTACCGACCCACGCCAACGATAGCTTATTGCTATGTGGTCTATTTGTGTCCAGCGTTGGTTTGATGAAGGGGGTCTCCAAGTCAAACAGTGTCTCTCCTTGTGTTTAAAGTTAGTGCTTACAAGAAACAAATGATTATCAGAGCAGAACTGTAGGAGACGGTCACCGTTGTCGGTTCGCTGGCACGGAGCTCCATAGGTGCCACCGACATCCTTCTCAGATTGACACAATTTCCCTACTTGAGCGTTAAAGTCACCAGCTAGAACGACTATGTCTGAGCGTTTAGCCTTTCGCACCAAACTAGACAGCTTTTGGTAGAACTCATCCTTCGTTTCATCTGAACTGCAGTCAGTGGGGGCGTAGGCGGAGATTACGAAAAGGCATCGGCGAGTAGTGCAGTCCTTCCTCCTTCTTACTGATCCGTTCAGGCGGACAGCACACATTCGGCTATCTACCGGGATCCAGTCAAGCAATGTCTTTTCTGCCCTAGTACTCAAAGCTATCCCTACGCCAGCTAATCCTCGTGAACTAGCTGTGGCATCTCCTGACACCCTCAAGGTGAATTTTGCAGATTCAACCTGTTGGCCAGGTGGGGTTAGGTGAATAACCACACTTGGGTCTTGTATGCGTGTTTCTGAAACACAGCATACATCAATGGCTCGTGATGCCAGGGTCTTGGCTAGTGATGCTTGTTGTCCTATTTGGCAAAGTGTCCTAACATTAAGAGCTCCTATATGAAATTGGTGGCGCGGCTTTAAGAGGCTGTCGGTGGTGGTTTTTTGGCTTCCATCGTTTTTAGTGGACGCAGAGTGGGCGCAGAGTGGAGAGCTATCAAGTCGAGGAGTTGCATCAGTGGAAGGAAGGCAAGATGATAGAGATGAAGATGAAGACAAAGATGAGTGAGTAATAGAGAGGTTTCGTGTGCATTTCGGATTGTGAGGGCGATTGTTACTTCCCGGCTGCCCACACCGTGGAAGTTGGTTGCGTGACCGCAGAGCCCAGGGGACAACTGCTTGAGGCCGGTCACACGCGGCCTGTTTTTGTTCGTTCTTTTTTGTTTGGTGTGTCTCAGTAGCAGATTTATCACTCCTGCCCTGTGACACGGCAGCAGGAAGCGCGGTCGTTGTTAATCCGGGCCACGGCCGATCCGGCATGAAATTTTGTGATTTTGTATTGGACATGATGTTGGATTGGGTAGCTGCTTTTTGTTTAACCGCTATCCAAACAACCTGCCTGGCATGGTAGTACCTCAAGAGACATAAGTCTCAGCCAGTATAGCTTGAATAGATCATTGCGGTGTTCAAGCCCGACCACCACGTCAAGGTAGCAGCTTTCGGTAGCAACTTTCCTCTTGGACCGGGTGAATCATAATATGATTCTATGTTCAATAACCCGAATTTATATTATTCGACAATGCTACTCTTATACTAAAGGTTTACAGTCTGAAGAATGATACGACAAGGCACACTACAATCAGGAAATTCCGTCTTTGGAACTTCACTCTTTACTTACTACCGTAAGAATCCTCTTTCCTTGTAAGTTAAAGTTAATTGCGTTGGCTTTAGCGAACAGTAATGAAAAACTCATACGAGAAACAAAATGACCACTTACCAACGGCAAATATCAGTCGAGTACACATTCAACGGAAAGTCTCACGGTGCGTCGGTGGCACAGTGGTTAGGATTCTCGCCGACCATGCACATGGTCCGTGGTTCGATCCCCTGCCGACGCACACCTGATATCTATGGTTGGCCTGCAAAATTTGGGCTGCCGATATCCATGCT